GCTCTGGCCTTATCGTTTGCCACGAATGCTGTACTCGTACTTGGGGTAGAGGCGACTCTGGATGACGCCGGCTGAAATCCGCTAACCCTCGCCGGGTCTTATTCAAAGTTGCCGGGGACAATCACACATGGCTGCGGGGGAGCTGCCTTCAAAATGGTGGCGTTGACGTGCTTTGCTGTGGACATCATCCAGTTCGGTCGTTACAATGAGGTCCCGAAGGCAGCAAACACCGAGAGACCCAGATGGATCGAGCCCAAGGATGATGACCCCCATGCATGTGTTCATGAGTGATTGGTCAGATGATGTTTCTTTTGCCATAATGACGTGGAGTGCACCAGTGCTGTCGAAGTCTTTGAATTCCATCACACGCTGAGCAGAAGGAACGTCGACTCCGCCCGAACAGAAGGACCGGCGACCTTGACTGAACAGAAGGAACCTAGACTTTGCATCGATTGACCGCTGGGAAACACGATGGTTGGACCGTGACCTGGAAGAGTCAGTCCAACTGAACGTGATGTCAAAGATGGGTGTCGTACCGGTCATCCCTGATCCCTGCCACCGTCCGTGCTCTGGTCACCTACTGCGAACGTATGGAGTTAGGAGATATGCAAGAAGCTTCGAGTCATGCAAGGCGGTGCCTTGCATCGCAGGGTTCCCCATTAGAAATGGAACATCAGTCTCTGAAGCCGCGGTCAGAAGTAAAGGAAAGAATTGGCCCAACTGCGCGAGACAGTCGTGCATCGAGTGGGACGGACGGGGAACGGACGGACACCGAACCAGGCAGCAACAACAGCGGGCAAGGGCATTGGGCAAGAGCAGACTTGGGCAATGGTATCGCGACGAGAGCGGTCTTCGGCCAATTGTCTTTCCGATGTTTTTGGGGTTTTCTGTATACTTAGCTAGGTAAAATCAATTTCATCCAAGCGAACTCCACCTTGGCCGTGGCCTAAAGTGCAGCAGTGATGACGACCGCGCCGTGTCCCAGCCAGATGAAATCGCCACAGGACGCCAAGCGAGTCCATGCCCGTGAGCCACAGTTACTCCAGCGTGTCTTCCAAATAGCATAACCCAGAGTGCTCCGTACGCGCCCGCTAAGAAGCCTTCCATCATTCCGTAGACCAGTTTGTAAGACGACTGCGCCAAACAGGTGACGAACCAGTACGCATTTGAAAGGAGAAATCCCAAGTAGAACCAAGTGCTGACTCCGTAGCGCCGCGCTCATGAATACAGCACCCTTAAAGCCAAGGCTGTTGAATGCAGAAGCGTCGCAAAGGTAAATGAATTCGTCCCGGTAGAGAGTGCCGTAGGCTGCACCTAGCGGTAGTGGACTGGCTCACTCGCAATTTCAGTCAGTCTCTTCGGCTGGAGACAGACAACCTCGGCCTTGTCGTTGACCGTGATCCTCGCAGGGACGTTGGTATGCGTAGGATACCGCGCCTTTCGTTCGAGTTCGTCCAGAGGGGTTTGAGAACGAATGTACTTGACGCGGCCATCGTCGATCGGATTCCAGTCCCAACTCTCGAAGCGTCCTTGGGTCAAGGCGGACCAGACGAACCGACGTTGGCGCTGGCACGTGAGGACGTCGTCTGTGATCTTCTTAAAGTCCCATTTCTTGTTCGCTTCTTGTTCGAAGGCCGTGAATACAGCTTGAACTTCGGGGTCTTCACTGTTGGCCAGATTAACCTGTTCATGCGGGTCCTTCCGCAGATTGAACAACTGGGGGGGATCGGCCGGGCATGTAATGTACTTCCAGTCGCCCCGACGGATCATCATCAGGGGAGCCACCGTCCCCTCGCCCATGTATTCGGCAAAGACGGTATCATGGCCACCGTCGCCTCCGTAGAGGTGAGGCATCAGGGACAACCCGTCCATGGGCAGCCCAGGAACAAGCTTAGACCCGATCAGTTCCACCAGCGTGGGCATGAGATCTAGGGTAGACACGTTCTGAGAGACGCGATGCGGTCGGAATTGCTTCGGGTGGCTGATGAGCATCGGTACGCGAACGGAGTTCTCAAAGTATGACATCTTGTACCAGAGACCTCTCTCGCCCAGCATATCCCCGTGATCGCCGGAGAACATGACAACTGACGGATGTCAATTAATCTATCCATGGAAGTGTGGAAAAATAGTGCTTACCGGTGTTTTCGTCCAGGCCGCATTTCTTCAGCACCTCAAGTAACTGCCCAATGCAGTCGTCCACGTAGCTGACCGCACCATAGTACGCTCGCCGAGCGCGCTTAATCTGCTCATCAGTAAAGTTATGGCCCTCGATCTCGCAGACATGCATGAGACGTCTGCTGTGCGGGTCCTGGTCTTCTTCTTTGATATGCACGGTAGGCAAGTCGATGTCAACACCTTCGTACAGGTCCCAGTACTTGTCCTCAATTGCATAGGGGTCATGGGGATGCGTGAACGAGACCGTCAAGGCGAAAGGCCGTTTGCCTGCTGGTCCTCGTGCATAGTCATAGAGATATTGCTTGGACTTGTACAAGACTTCCTCGTCGTAGTCCAGTTGATTGGTCCTCACGCAAGGCCCGGCTTGCAAGATAGAGCTGCTGTTGTGGTACCACTCCAGCCGTCGACCGGGGTCGTCCCAATTCACCGCCCAGCCGAAATCACCCGGGTAGATGTCCGCGGTCAGTCGGTTCTCGTAGCCGTGCAATTGGTCTCCGATAAAGTGCATCTTGCCCGCGAGCGTGGTTTCGTAGCCAGCAGCACGCAGGTAGTGAGCGTATGTTGGCGTCTCGGATGGAATGGAGCAAGCGTTGTCGTAAGAGCCGATCTTTGAGGGAAGCTGGCCGCTGATCAGACACATGCGGGACGGAGCGCATAGCGGTGAATTGCAATACGCCGAATCGAACACGACCGAGCGTTCAGCCAGTTGGTCCAGGTTGGGCGTTTTGATCTGAGACTTGGGATTGTGCATCTTCAAGAGAGGAGCCGCGAGTTGGTCTGCCATGATGAACAGGATGTTGGGCTTTGGAGGGAACAGAGGGGTCGAGAACCCGTCGGCGCCTTGGTAGCCATTAGGAGGCGACACGGGGGGAGAATGCGGGAATGGATTGAAGGAGCCCATGACCGTGGCAATTGATCAGCTCAAGTCGGTCTATGTTGTGTGCGTGTCGACTTTTCAAGAGTCAAAGTCGGCCTGCCCAAGTCGTGGTCTGAACAAAGAAGAGAGGGAAAAGTCTGGAAGCAGCGAGGTGGACGAGGGTTACATATACAGTGTGGGAGCGCACGCTGTGGAGAGACTTTGCGGGATCAGAAGTGACGCTGCCTGGTTCGGAAAAGAATGCAGACGTGACAGAAAGAAAACAGTGAAGGACAAGTGAATCAGGAGCGGGCAGGAAGTTGGGCCAGTGAAGGAAGACAAACCCAGACCGGAGGCGAACCTTACGAGCGCCGCTTCTGGTCAACGAGCGACTGGATTTGCACCGCTTTCGGTGCTGCAGACCGTAAAGTTACTCATGTCATGGATGCTGGGCGGGCGATAGCGTATGTGGGGACGACGATGTTCGTTGCAATATACCAGGTTCGCAATTCCCGTCGTATCATGCGCCAGATTAGCCAAGGCGGTGGGCAAGGCGGTCAGCCTGATCCTGCGCCTAATTTGACGCGCCTGAATTTCGCCGCCAGTCTCCTGTGTGCTGGAACAGCCAAGAGGTCGATGACCCCTTCGTCGACAGATTGGTGGCTGAGAAGTCGATGTCAGAGTATGCAATCGACGAGCACGCAAGAGCGGAGAAGACGAGAATGCGACGTCGACGGCTACGAGTACGGGGTACACACAGCATATTATGATGGGCAGGAGATGGCAACATTTTCGTGTATGATCACGCCATTCATTGCCACAACCAGGCTAGTGTAGGCGGTGACTGAGCAAGCAGACGCGTGAGAGGTCGAAGTGAGCCCGGAGTGAGTCTGCTTCGATTCTCCGTCGGCCGGTTCCTGCAGGCTTGACTCGGGGCTCATCCATGCCTGATATGCACGGCTGACCAGGCCCCCCAATCAGCACATGAATCTGCGACACCGCCGACTTTGCTTGCGAGTTGATCCTCGCTTGTTCTGCCGATCATTAGCTTCTACTGAACGTGTGCGTTGAGATCCGTCATTGGTCGCGTACCCCAGACGGCTGAGCCTCGCCGTGTCTGTGGGCACATGGACATCTGGAAACACGGGGTACCGGAGATTGGTCTCGCCCTGCAGTTGCAACCACCTCAGCTGGAGCGCCGGACGGAGCACAGCAGTCCGCAGCCGCAGCCTCCCTATCTCAGGAATTCAAGGCGAGCTGCGGCGCAACTTATAAATACCCAGTCTTGTCCCGTGCCATGGCTGATCCTTGGTGCGGCTTATCACCACCCACGTCTCGCTGTTCGAAGGAGCCCGTATCGACAGCTGTCCATGCCTAGACCGGTGTGTCTCAGCCTCCCTTCTGGCTTCTGAGCCCCTGACTTCTCTCCCTATTTCTACCACACCCAAGTCGCTTTGGTGATAAATCCCTCCTCTTCTGCTCGGCAGGCTTGAGCAAATATACTTCTGTCGACTGCTCAGCCCAGCCTGGCGATTGTCCGTTGCGCTGCTCTTGATGCTCGCTTTTGCCCTTTTCCAATGGGAGAACTGCCTTCATGCCCGAGAAAGCTCGGTATGCTGTTTGACGGCGATACACTACAAAACTAATGTTGCGGGAAAACAATGTAAACGCTTAACCAAAGAAAATGTGTGCATTATCCATTAATACGGTATTTCATGGGAGCTTGCTCTTCTGACCCCGAACTGTGCCCTGTACGACTGCACTCGATGTTTCTCTCTTTACACAGACGGCGCCAGGTCCATGAGCATACGTGTCACGGCATGCCGACGCCGCATTGCCGACAGTTGACAACTGGGACACGTTGCTGGATCCTCAGGAATGTCGAGGCAGCCAAAGCCGGCCGGTCAAAGCAGTCTGACTCGTCTCTAGCCGACGGCGACTTGTTTCCAATGCAGCGGCTCTTGTTCCATCACCCCTCGTCTTCCGCATGCTCTTCTTCTTCCTCTTCGTCGTCGCATCCGTCCCCGCCTTCGCTCTCATCGTGCTCGAACTCATCGCTGTACCCGAGTTGTTTTCTCACAACCATTTCAGCGGCTCTGACCTTCGCTTCGAGCGAGGATCTGAGAGGGTGGCCATCCATATCAGCATCTGGGAAATTTCTGTAGTTTCTCAGGACGATTCTGGCTTCGCCAATCCACTCCAACTTCTGCCAATCATCGGGCGCAGGATCGGCTGTGGCGAGGGTCGTGTTCACAAGGATGCGCAGCGTGGGAGTCAGCTCTTGGATTTCCAGGTGGTACTGTTCAAAGTCAGGACGTTCACCGAGGGTCAGTCAGTGGTCACTCACGAGGATGTCCAGCGCTTCGTGCTCAAACCCAGCATGAAGACTCATGTTGGCCTGAAAACGCACGTGTCAGCATAAAGCTACTGTCGAACCGATGTATGTGGGGACCCCGCAATCGCGAGAGAGGCGCTATTGCTGACCTGGTTGAAAAGATTCCAGCACATGGCCTCGTGGCTGAGGAGGAATTAACCATCTGGTTGGTGTCCCATAACATGAGCCAGAGAAGCTTACCTGGCAAGTGTCGCCATGCTGATCGGGATTTCACACTCGCAGTTCGGGCCTTTGCAGATGGTCGCAGAAGAAGCAGTGGAGGATGGTTGGGGACGAGGAAGAAGTCAAAAGGTTGGCCGCGGTGACCCGCAGATGAGGCCGACGGAGGCAGTGAGCAGCTTCGCGACGGTGCGTGGACGTGAATACCACTTTACTGCTTGCGATCTTACTACTGAAGATTTCGAAAAGGAGACTCGTGCTCCCTCATGTAAATTCCTGTGCGGCGCCAGCGCTCGGACTCTAGACGCAAAGATCGACCAGTGAATCAAAGTGGTAGGGGCAAGTCCAACTGCTCTTTCTCGCGCATCCGCGGTTTTTCACCCAGCGAAAGCGGTTGATTGATTGGGAACAACCAAACTTGAACTGAAGTTCTCTCCCATCGTATGGTATTAGCACTTGCGAACCACCTTCCATGAGCTTCGACCCCATGGACAGAGTCAAGCGCTCGTGTTCGGAGTATACGTAGTCAGCATTATTGGAAGACATGCGAGCGACGGACTATAGCGAGGCGTGGCAGAACAAGCGAGGCACGTCTTTTGGTTGCTGTAGTGACACGTGACGATGTCGGACTCAGTTCATTAACAGAGCTGCTCTCCGCAGTGCCTCCGCTGACCGAGAGCCCTCTGGATTAATTTGCGCCCATCCTCAGGACACTCTCGTTCTTTCTGTTGTTGAGGCGCATACGCTCGTTTTCTACGTGATGCATATGCGCATTGGTTTGGCGCGTTTGCCTTGCATGAAACCTCTCTGAGCCGCCATTTAGGGCCGCCAACTCGCGCTGCGAGGCCCCAGCTAGCCCTGGTCGAAAGCGACCATGGCGGACATGGAGGAGAACGTGCAGATTGATGACTCGGCGGAAGCTGATTTTGACATGGGCACGGCCGAGGATGCGCAAGAGGCGGACGATGACAATGCGGAAACTGAAGGTGGCGGCGACACCGCTGCAAACGGGACTACTGCTCCCAACCCTCAAACCATTTTCCTCGAGTACCTCAAGTCGCCAATTGTCAGAATAATTGTCGGCTCCGATGGCGACGAGACCACCTTGACCGCGCACAAAGCTATCCTCCAACAGTCGCCTTGGTTCGACGAAAGGCTTTCTGAACTCTCCGACGACGATCTCAGGATCGAGATGCGCGACGAGGCGTTGGACACCGTAGGATGCTTCCTACAGTATCAGTACACCGGGGAATACTTCCCCCGCCGTCTACCGAATGTACCAGACGGACTCGAGCCGGATCCATCGGTACCCGCGGTTGACAACACTGGCGCGCAGCTTCTCAAGCATGCGCAGGTGTACACCCTCGCACAGAAACTCGGACTGCCCGAACTCAAGACGCTTGCGCACTCCAAGATCCACCGCATCAACTCAACCGCTGTTGGGGAAATCGCGTACGCAAGATTCGTCTATGGCAACACACCTGCCGACGATGTTACAATCCGCAAACCTGTTGCTGCATTCTGGGCCACTCGATCCCACGTCCTACGCCACGAGGCCGAAGACGAGTTCAAGGCCATGTGTCTGGAGTACCCACAGTTTGGTTTCGACGTTCTGAGCCTGGTGTTGGATCAGCGGGAGAAGCGAGCCAGGGAGCGAGAGGAGGAAAGCACCCCAGGTGGTAAAGGGAGGAAAAGAATGCGCCCGAGCATCAACATTTAGCCGCCTCACCACCACACCTTGATGTACCACTCGACCACACGGTCCCTGGGGTTGCTATTTTGGGTTTAGACAGTGGTCGTTGTCGGCGGCCGGGGCGCATTCTTTGTTCCAAGATCAAGTTTAAGCTTAGGACCATGGCGCTGGTTTCCAAGTCGTAGGGGGGACAGGGGAATGGCTGTAAAAATAGTCCTCAGTTTCGCAGCACACCTCACAAAAAGTGCAGGAAAAGTGCACGAAGGAACTCTGTAGCAACACCGTAACTCTGAAGAAACTTGCAGCCTCGCCGAAGAGCGGTTGACGACGTCTCTCATTGTGTCCTTGTCTGCCGTTCATTCAGCTCTGCTCCTCCAGAAGGTACTCCGTAATAGTTGATGCTCTGATGCAAGTAGCCGAGCTCCAGGGGCAGGCTCCACCCTTGCGCCTTCACGACGGCACGGAGTCCTGCTCGCCGAAGATTGCGGGGTTCCATTGATCGACCTTCCAGCCTTTCGGGTCCGGGCAGGTGGGCGCGAGTGAGGCTTCCGAGGCTGTGCTCTTTGCTTGCTTCTGACTCCAAAACCTACACGCTCCCCGTGCTCGAGTGAACTCTACATTTGATGTGTCTGCTGCGATTACCGTATAGAAGTCTTGGGGCACGCGATGAACACCGGCGATCGCGTTGCACGTAGCACGGCCCGCGGTTCCCTGACCTGATCCCCTGAGCGTTCGTCCGATTCACAACTTGCCCGCCAATGTCAGATCTCGCAGATGCGCCGGGTGGTGCAGGCGATGGCACGAACAAGTCTTTGGACGGCCGAAGTTCTCTGTCGAGAGATGCGAACGGCGCCACGTCCCCTCTCCTGCCCCGCCATTCCAGCCAGGCCTCTCCGCCTACAGACCAGCCAAAGAAGAAGCGCAAGGTGAATCATGGTCAGTCTCCGCTCCGAAAGCGCTCTGTCTGCGCGGAAACTGACACCTCTCAGCATGCGTCTATTGCCGACGTTCGGTAAGCCAGTGTGACCTCTGTGACCCCGGAGTACCGAAAAATCGAGTGCTTGTCGAGAAAGATGATGGGCTGACTGCGGCTTCGGTGGGATACACAGCATATGACTTGCGATTCTGTACGACTTCCTGCTCCTCGATGCTGAGCGCACCGCCTTATGTTGCCCTGGTGTTTGGCTAACGCAACCCTCTACGGAGGGGCCATGTCTCAGGATCGACCTTGCAAACGCTGTATCAAGAGAAACATTGGGCATCTGTGCCATGACGAACCAAGAGAAGGACATGGCTATCACAAGAAGTCCAAAACCGAATCAGACACGACTGCGCTCGACGAGCAATCTTCGCCAACGGATGAATTCGCGTCGGCCCCAAGCTTGCCTGGCCCCGCCTTGATAGACGACTCTGCTCCCAACTTGCTGCAAGATGACAATATTGGACTGAGACCGCCCGCCAATGACACCATGGCAGTCTCTAATTCGAGTACGTCCGCTCCAAGTGCTGCTATCAATGGCAATGCTCAGGCTCGTAAGTCACTCGCAAAAGCTGGAGAGTACGCGTCCCTTACGGTGCACAGAATTCGGTTATAACGAGCCGTGGCCTGGTACTCAACATAGGTTCCATGAGATGCAGGCGTTCCATCCTAACTTTATGTTCAACGCCAACGAGGTCACCGACGAGTTCAACCTGTTGAACGACTTCCTCAGCAACAGTCTGTTCGAAGAGACAGGGATGTATTCCACAGAAGAGTTCCAAGGCCCCTTTAATGACCCCTCCTTTATGAATTCCATGGCCGCATCTTCCTTCCCACACGGCGGCGTCGATACTTTACTCCCCCCGGACCAGGTCAACCACAACGTGTCCACACTCCAGAGCAATGCAGCCCATGCGGCGATGATATCCCGACCACCTAGTGCAAAGCCGGTTTCCGACAAAGCACGCGAGAAATACTACATGATGGCAGCAGATCCGACTGGGCAAGAACCACCGGAAGAACGCATGCAGAAGCTACTCAAGGCAAAGTACGACGCAGGAATGCTGCGACCTTTCAATTACGTGAACGGCTATGCGCGACTCAACAAGTACATGGAGAAGCATATGAAACCGCATTCCCGTCACAAGATCCTGATGCAGCTTGACCAGTTTCGCCCCAAGTTTCGGGAAAGAATGCAGAGCCTGACCGATATCGAGCTGGTGCTGGTAGAGATGTGGTTCGAGAGGAGCCTGATGGAATATGACCGGATATTCGCCAGTATGGCCATACCTGCCTGTTGCTGGAGGAGAACGGGTGAGATCTTTAGAGGCAACAAGGAGATGGCAGAGTTGATTCAAGTACCTATCGAATCTCTACGTGATGTGAGTGACAAATCTCATGTGGGTCCGACTTTTCGTTAACGACTGCAGGGCAAGCTTGCTATTCACGAGATCATCGTCGAGGATCAGCTCGTCAGCTACTGGGAGAAATTTTGTGCTATCTGCTTCGATCAGCAGCAGAAAGCCATGCTCACGAGCTGTACATTGCGCAGCCCCACAGCGGGCGCGGATGCTGAACCCATTCATTGCTGCTTCTCTTTCACCATCAGGCGAGACAACCACAACATGTAAGTGTTCCTATCCAGATAGTCATCATTACTGACGTCCGCGTCAGACCCTCGTTGATCGTCGGTAACTTTCTGCCTATGAACCCTGCTCGGCGCTGAAACGCGGGCCTGTCTTGTGTAGTGTACACTCAAACAAGATGATGAAAATATGAGAATTTCTCAACCTTGAAGCCAGCACCCCCGAACCCCAAATCTATGCTTTCTTGTTCATTATCGCGTCTGACCACTGTTCATTGGCATGTTACTTGCCCAGTCACGTGCATATGACCTTCAATTCAGCACAGCACTGACTTGGTGGTCCCTTGGTCATTCTTCCTCACTTCGATCAATCTAGTACCTGCCAGACCAATGTTGCCGACAGAACCGGCAGGGCCGGCGCAGTCCATTCTTGGTAGGTTCAATCTGAACTAACTCTCACTCGGACCTTCACTCGCACCCTCACCTCACTCTCACCGGAGATCACTAACATGTAAGCAGAATTTGCAATCCACCTGGAACGGCTCCTCGACGAAGTAAACCCTGGCGCCCAACATCTTCCCGATCTCTCCTCTTACTTGACCGTCCTCCCTTTACGGCGCAAAGACCTGTCTCCCGAGCTCCGCATTGACTTCGACCGCGAAGGCGTTACACTTTGGAACATATGTTGCAGATTGGACGGCAGCGACGAGACTCAGTGGAAGCGCGGCGATCTCGCGAAAGGTTGCGCTCGTAATGCAGCAACTCAGTATTCTTCTGACTCTTGCCGTAGTGAGAGCGTTCTCCTATTTCTTGCTGGAAAGTGCAGGAAGCATCAAGCGAAAGAGTAGGGTGCGCCTTCTGTGATCCGGAAGCCGTCCTCACTTACACTTCATAGACCATGCTCGGCTCTTCAAGATCGCTATCAAGGCCGGTAGAAGCTGTCTTGGTACGACCTGCATCTTCCGGGTTGTTCTCGACTGACCATCGCGCTTAAGATGCTGGCCTTCTGGATATCGCCGCGGCAATCATCGAACAGCTGGCCTCAAAGCAAGAGCGGCTTGCAAAGAATGTCGAAAATGATGATCTCAGTAGTGGTGGTTTTACCGAGAGCCTTCAAGCACGGTATCTTCTGCTGCGGATCGCATTGGTGGGAGCCCCTGATCTCGTCTACAATCTGTACTAATAGGCAACAGGTCTGGAGGCAGAACCGCCTTGACCTAGCCGAGCATTTCTATATCAACCAGCTGGAGCCACTTCGGCCTAATCTGTCACCTGAGCAAATTGAAGAACTCGCCGACTTATGCTACGAGATTGGCGTCGATCAACTCAACCAGAAAAAAGCCGGCTCGGCGGCGAAGTGGCTCAGAAGAGGCTGTAAGATGTTAACTGACCATTCAAGCCAGATGAGCCAAGTGGACATTGCTGAGCTGAGACTCTCTCTCATGCACTCTCATGGTAAGGAAGACATTGGGCACGTTGAGAGGCGGTACTCATACCTTCCGCAGTCAGAGCACTGCTAGCAAGTGACGACCTTGAAGATCGAAATGAAGCCATGGAGGCTCTCGAAGCACTCTGTCAAGTGAGCAACTCGCCTTGCCTCCCGATCGAGTGGCAGGAACTGATTGACCCAGGAGTTTCCTCACAGGCTTGCCGTAATCCTGCTTCGGTTGGAGGAATACGCAAAAGACCCAACCGCAAATCCAGTCGCCTTTCAGTCCGGTAAGCGTGATCTTTTCGGCGCCATGCCTGCTGATTATCCCTAACTATCCCAAGAGCTAATAAAGGTTGTCCGCTCGGTTCATTTGGTGCCCTCCAATCACAAGTTGTGAGTGTCATATCCTTCCGGGGAAAGATTCACGCACTGATGGAGCAGGGTCCTGCATTACTTACACCATTTGAAGAGACTCAGGTATGGCAGTGCAGAACGGGTTTGTCTTTGACACTTCTGCTGACAGTGGCTAGTGTAGCCAGTGCAATCAGTGTTTTGGACGTCTACATCGTGACAAGACTGGCACCAGATGGTGAAAAGGAATGGACAGAGGGCACCATTATTACCTTGATTTGGCTCATGACTTCTGATGGAGCAGATGGAATTCAGCCCAGGCTGTCTGATTTCGCAGAATCGTTCGACAGGATATTCCAGGCCTGGGGGACCGTCCTCAGCGCAGAAACTACACGTGGTGTACTGGTGGTAGGTGCTAGCCACGTGCCGTGAAGAGTTGCTTATCGCCTCCCAGCTATTTTGGAAACAGATTGAGCATACATTTCACCATGATCAAAGAGAGCGTACGATTCGATGGTGTCAACTCGCACTGCATCAGCTCTTCAGCAATGCAGGAGACCACAATATCGGCAAACTCGAAAGGTAGCAGTCTTGCATGCTCGAATCAATGTGCGCCAGCTCATCAGGGTCAGAAAGATAGTCAAGTGCTACATCGACCTTGGCAACCTCAATGCCGCCAGTGAGGCTTTAGAAGCGATGCCATCGGCTCGGAAACAGCATGCTCTGTCCCGTTATTTACGATACACTCTTGCCCTGCGCCAAGGAAATGAAGACGGAGGTACAGCTTTCATTCAAATTGGTTTCGGCCCACTGGTTAACAGATTCCAGCACGGTCAGCACTGGCCTCTTTAGCTTCACTGCATGACAGCCGGAATCGGTTGCTGTTCGCTGCAGCCTCGGAAGCCATGCAGCACGGCGGCAAGACCCAAGGTGCCCAGTTACTGCAGCGAATTCTGGACAAATACAACAACAATCTACCTCCCGAGATTGATGCATTCGCTCTTCTCAGGTAAGCCAAGTCGGTAGCTCTCTCAACTTGTCTGACCGCACAGGTGTACGGCGCGGCTCCTTATCTCGGCAGCTTCGGAACCGAGCACCGTCGATGAGGAGCTCCTGTCCCGTCTATGTGGCATCTACAAGTCCGGTAATGTTAGAACCCGCTTCTGGAGTCATCCGCTGATCCCACCTAGCTGCATTCTCGACACAAAAGTACCACAATGGTCAAGGACAAGATTCTCAATGCCTGCTGCAAGAGTGTAAATGGTTCGAAAAAACGGGTTACAACTCAGCCGTACAAAATCTAAAGAGCTGGCCGGTGAGGTATCTGATTGACTTGTTGCACTACTCATGCCACGTACGTTCTAGTATCGCTATTGCACACGTCGAGACTGACAATTCGGCAGATCCAATACCCAGCGAATGCACCTCAAGGAGCACACCGCGAGAAACTCATCCACGAGATCAACTCTAACTACATCCAAGCCATCCTATATACTGCCCAGGCAAGATCTATATCACCGTTAAGCACGAAGGAGGACCTGCCAAAAACATCCTACTCCGGCAAGCCACCACCATGTTCGCTTGCGGATATCAAGCTCACGCTCTACCGAAATGTGTTTAACAAATACACGCAAGTTGACAGCCTTGTCAACACATTTCACGACTCCAGTGCATCCATTCCCGCGACCGAGGGAGTTGTTGAAGGTATCAGGCGAAAGCAACTAGTCCTGGCTCCTCTGGCCTTCGAAGCCCTGCTTTTCATGCAGTGTTCAAACACAAGGAACCGCACCGAACATGGCCCGAGCATGGTCGACGAACTATCATTCAAGCAGATATTCGATCAAACCATGGCCCTTAATCCACCGCTGAAGACATATTCAATCTTCGCCGACATGATCCTCTCCGCTGGCACGGGGAAATACTGCACCTCCTCGGATCCAGACCTGCTTGGACCTCCCGCGCTGCCTGTCTCTACCACCGTAAATCTTCTCATCAAGCTGATCACTGGGCTAAAAACTCATCCAAGTTACGACGCCGCACAAGCGACTAAGTGGATGAGGTGTATGGTTCAAGTCGTCCTCGACCAGCTGGACATGGGAGCCGCGGTTGAGGCGGGAAATGGTCCATCACCCGACTCAGCAGAACTCGCCACAGTTGATCTCACCACATCTGAGACTCATTGCATGAAGAACCTCGGCATTCTAGCCATGCTCACAGACCATGCACTTCTGTTCGCGCGCTCATTTGATACCTACCCGGCCGAGGAACTACAATGGCTCGCCACGACGTTGTTCAACCTGGCCATTGACATTTACGTGGCCTCTCCGTCTTCCTCTTCCTCTTTGTCCGCTTCCGCCTCCGCCTCCGCCTCCGCCTCCGCCTCCGCTCCCAGGTTCTCAGGTGGCCCGTCAAGGTCAGAGACAGGAGAGCACAGAGGGACAGAAAGCGAGGGTATCGATGTCACGCGACCAGAGACTTGGGCCAAGAGGGCTGTCGAGTTCGCAGATGTGCTTGGCCTGAATCAGAAGCGGAGTCAGAACCAGAACCAGGACCAGAACCAGAACCAGGACCAGAACCAGGACCAGGACCAATATCTGGAAAGGTCGGCGCCTCCTACAGCCGGGGCTAGGGCTATTGGCGGACGCGAGGAAGTGACCGGCCTCGCGAGGACATTGAGGGAGAGATGTCAGCGGTTCAAGTGGGTTGTCTGATGGATGAATGTATGTATGTGGTTTACGTCGGGAGCAAGCAACGCCATATGTCGTCTGGGAAGAATGGAGGACCGAGGACCGAGGACTGACTACAAGTAAGCCATCAAGGAAGGTTAGGTCGGAGAATAGGGCAATGAATTCAAGTGATCGGTCTCAAGTGATCGGTCTGGGGAGAATGGAGGACCGAGGACTGACCGACTACCAGTATTCTATCAAGGAAGGTTATGTGAGATAGACATGGACCATGGAGGAAAAGGATGCATTGTCTGGCTTCGAGAAATGTGAGACCGCGGATGCGCCTCCTCTTGCTACTATTATGTTGATCATCTACTACTGTACCATGCTCTGCCTGCCTGCCTGCCTGCCTGTGCAGTCTTATCGTTGATCATGGAATAAGATCTGATGGGGCAGTAATGAGTGATATGTCAACATGGGAACGCATCAACGCCTTGAAACTTTTTAGCCAAGGTATGTACGGAGTAGCAGATATGAAGTTGAAGCGGAAGGGAGAAACAAGGCCGAGTTCGCACTCAGTTCACGCACATGTCATGCAGGTCATTACAGTAGGTCTCCCAAGTTGGGCTTGTACGATCCATGTACGGAGTACCGTGGTGATCTATTCCACCTAAAGGTGCATCGCAGTAACGAAGGGTCCTGTACTGTGTATGTACAGCTCCGCATTAGGCGACGACATACTAGGTACCTCATCTCGTGATTTATGTCGTGCTTTGGGCGACAACAGCAGGGGTACAGTAAGAAGGATGCGCGGGCGAGGTGTGGCTTCTGCGATATTTAGGAGTCTACAGTAGCTCAGGAGGGAAAACGTTTGTCGCGTTCATCCATTGAGGTTGAGCCATCGCAATTGCCCCGTCTGCTCCTAACCATCATGTCCGAGCTGGATCGAAGACCTGGGACATCGGCGTCTTGAAACGGATATGCTCTCCCTCTCGATGAATCCCTGCAAGTATTGCCCCTGCCGCCGCTCTGCTGTACTGGTGTTGGTTGAGCGCTGTGGTGACTCCTTCCGAGGGAAAATACTGTCCCAGACACTGCGCCGCCTCCGGATCACGCGGCTGACCAAGGCGACTTGGTTGTATCGCCACCATCATAAAATTCTCCAAGAGTTTGGAGTGGGGTATCTCTGAAAGAAAAGTGTCATGAACGAATAATAATATGTTGTATGTTGCTGGAGGTATTTTTTACAGGTTGAGCAAGGGTCGTCACACTCAGAGGATCTCCGGTTTATTGGACGATCGTTGTGAGAGGACTTGATTCGATGGTAGCATCTCACATGTTGAAACGGGTAATCGTACTGTGGTCCACGACCCGCTGGTAAAGGGTAATGGTGAACTGGCCTGGCCTACTTGTCACTGGCGCCACCCTGGTGCATCATTGTACAAGAGCATGCCTGCTCCTGCACCACCGGCTCCGCCGCCGAGCGGTTTTCCGGTTGCGGGATCCATTCCGAGCTTCGTTCGTAGCTCCTCGACTCTCTCTTTCGTGCGCCGGACCTTAGCCACAACAACCTCCAGCTTTTTCATAGTACTCTGCTTTCCCAGATCTTCAAGTTCAGGCACGAGGTCGTAGAGTTCAGCATATGAGCGAGCTGTGGCGTCTCGCCGGCGCTGTTCAGAGTTCGTATGGTTTGCTTTTTTCTGTTCCAGGCTGAGTGGAACTCTAGTAGAAGTACTTTTCTGGCTGGCACTGGATTTCCTAGGCTTCGGCGTCGGTCCGGCCGTCTTCTTCCGAAGTGGCTTTGAAGGGGGTGCTTTCGTGTGTCGGGGTGGGCGGGGCTTCGAGCCTGGCCATGGCGCTGGAGAAGGTGACCTTGGTTGTTCCATAGTGTCTTCGTCTTCTTCTTCAGCCTCGGCATCTTCATCTTGTTCCGGGGTGCCTTGAATATCAGGTGTTCCAGCTCCGTGGGGTGTCTGTGGTTTGCTGTTGGAAAGTGGAGTCGGTGGTTGTGAGAGAGGAGCCTTTGTCTCGGGCTTGACCACAGAGCGTTTCCTACGAGGATTAGAATGAGGTGGGGAAGGTTGAGTTGACCCAGCATGTTGAGCAGGGACGACAAATCCATTACGAGGCTGCTGATCTCGGGCAAAGTCATCGAAATTCCTCTTCTTGGACCAGTTAGGACTTGACGGTTGGGTATTTGGCTGGGTATTGGGCTGAGTTGTGCTCGCACTTGTTGGTTCGAGCCAGTCTCCGAGGGGATTGGTCATTTGTAGGCCTTGAGGCAGATCCGGGTCCATCGGATTATGGGGAGCAGCATAACCACTTGATTGAAAGCGCGTATCGGTGCCAAAGCCCATGCCGAGGCGAGACTGGCTCGGTACATTCATTACGTTTTGCGTGGGAAAGGTTTGCTGCCATCCTTGAGTGTATGCCGGTTGCATCGAGGCCGCGGAGTTGAGCTGGGCGATGAGTGGATTGTGGAATGCGGGATCGGTGTACGCAGCACCATGCATGCCACCAACGAGGACGTTTGGATGCGTGACTGTATTCATATCCTGTCCCAGCAAGGTATGACTGTATGGAAAATCACCCCCGGTCAGTTGGTGGGGATCCATGCCATTCCCTTGGCCCAGCGCTGTGTCTGAACCCACAAACATGGGGGGCATATCGAAGAACTGATCATGCTCGGCTGGCAGGTTGAAGTGAGGATGGCCGAGAGATTTGTTGGCGGCGGCAGTCTGATCGAAGCCTTGAAGGAAGTTGTCCAGGTCTTGGTTCTCGTGAGCATTGAGGAGGGGTTGACCTGGAGGAGGGCCCGGGGTCATGAACTCGGGTAGTCCGATGCCATGGAGGTTTTCGGGTTGATCTAAGCAGAGACGTAAGCAAATCCGTTGTCAGACAGGGCAAGAAACATGTAAGAGAGGTGCAGGTCATACAGCCGAAAGGGAAGTATTGTTGTCCGCCATGGGACGACATCCTTTGGGTTGCCAACAGTAATCGAGCCCCTCCTCCACCTCTTCCACCAGGCTGCGCCAGGGCAGCCTCGACTTGTAGAGTGCGACCAGTTGTCGGAACACGAAACGCAATGTGGTGGTGGAGTAAAGGTCGCAGCCTCGTTCGGTCAATAGGCGGGGGTGAAGAGTCGAGGCTGAGGCAGAATGATCTGCGCAGAGTAGACCGAGGGACGCGAGATAGGTGAAGGAGGAAGGCGAAGCGAGCGTCAGACACTCGAGAGCATTGCGTTGTTGCAAAGGTCTCGAGCGAAGGTGAAGGTGAAGGCGAAAGCGGGAGTCAGTTGTGGTGGAGTTTCGGGACCGAAGTTCTGTTGGGAAGCGATGACAAGATGGGGAATGGGCCGAGGAGCTGTTGGAACAGGGCCAAAGAGGCGAGGAGACAGTGATGGTGGTGCAGAGAGCCACAGGCAATTGACAGTATGCACTGCTGGTGGCCAGCAACGATTTGAGGGCAATGTGAAGTCAGGTCAAGGCCAGGAAGCGAAGCATTGGAATTGGAATCTTTCACATGCGATTTGCAAGTTGATGGCCAGTTCAGATTCAGTTGCAGGTGAAAAACAGCAGCGATGCTCAACCGTCCTGCATGAGCCTCGTCCAGCCAATCAGGTCTCGCCAAGACCTGGCTCGTCCTCCACATTCAACGTGCACAGCCAGTGGGCTGTTCACGTGACCACGCCTCCCCTGTTCCCCGCCGCCGACGATCTCAAGTGTCGTGGCACGTGAGTGTCCTAAAAGAAACCTATAACTCAATGGAGGATATGCTAAGACTACTCCCTCACGGCGCAGGCCGTCTAACTATATATATAAACCGGTAATCTATTAATACTCGTCACGGTCCTTAACACGCTGCTAAGGCGTCATTTACCTTCTTATGACCGTCGCAGACCACATGCGCCAGGCCTCCAGTCACGAACCCAGCGGCGCCAGCATCAGCTTGTATGCAAAACGCCCACCTTAATGCCAAAGTCAAGACCAATACGTACCCAAAGAACCATCAAACAGACAGCCGTTTCTTCAGCTTCGTGTAAAACCCCATACTCCGTGTGCTCCATCAGCGCCCTTCCTCTCCCAACAACCACTCAGGTTCGTCCCCGGAGTCATCTGCACAACCACCTGGCCATCGGCTGCTATCCAATGCATCGATACCATCCCTGTAAGCTTGTCCGATTGCCAGAACAGCATGAACCAGATGTGCGCAAGAGTCTCGCCCCATGTGAACACCCTGATCCTCCAGAGACTGTCATCTGCAGAGTCTTTCGCGATCCAGGTACCCCAGCCGACTTTTCCCAGTTCGATCGTCCTTGCAACATTTTCCCATGCCTTGACGAACTCATCTGCCGTCCAAAGTGCGTGTTTGGGCGGGTTGTTGTCTGCCACATCATGCTTCCTGCGCGCTGTGGACCCCAGCAGTTTCAGTGTCGGCTTTGGGAGTGTCTCCACTAGTCTGACCCAAAATTGCCAGTATCCTCGCTCCAGCACCTTGACGTCTCGCGCAACACATGCCGGCCGGAAATGGTGCATTTGTGGTGTGAACTTGTCCAGGTCGTCTGTGATATGTGTCGTAAAGCTCGACTGGCTGCGCTGCGGCAAGAACTCTGGGAGAGGGCGCACTTCGTCAGGCCGTTGCCGGACGCGATTTGCATATGGCCGTGCCCTCGCTATTGTCGACACCAGAGGCCGCTGCACGGGAGCTTCCACCTGGCTCGCCTTGGAATAACATGACGATGGGATCTCTGTGCGAGTGGCCACCGGTGTGGGTTGTGACTGGAAAGGGTCGTCGTGCACTGGGCTGGAGGTTGGCGTGGGATAAGAACAGGACGCCCGCCGTTCTGGGGTGGTCAGATCCACAACAGATGGAACCGGCGACTGATGAGACTCGATTCCTTGTTTGCTCGGGCCTCCGTGGATCAGCATATGCAACGGCGATACAGACTGTGTGGACTCGGCGTCACCTGTGGCAAGAACTACACAGCCAGCCCGAGCATTCTCATGAGATTTTGCGGAGCAGGATACATCGTGCTTCTTCCGGCTGCCCGGAGGTACGCGGTCCATACACTCGCTGTCAGCCCTCTCCATCCGTACCTGCTTCCTCTTCTTGCCAACGTTGGCGAGAAATACGGCTCTCCCGCGTTGACTCCGGTCTAATCGGAAGGGCGAGCTGAGAAGAGATAGATCCGTACTCAAGTTTCCTCCAACGCTTGTCTTGTCGGGAGCCAGGTTGGGGTTGCACATGGAGAGGGTTTCCGACTGAGCGCGTCCGTGCCCTCTTCCAACAGTTGACGCGTAGACGTAATCGGCCATTGAGCTCAATTCAGGAGCAGTTCGCGGGCGAGGGAGATTGGGTCGAGCTGGCCGCGAGCCACTGTTCTTTAGTCAGTCACTTCGTTCGAACATGAACGCATCTGTTGCATAGTGACAGGCATGTTCCTATCATTTATTACCTCAAGGCCAAAAACACATGATAATTATCAATACGCGACAAATCACAGCCGGTTGGGCACCAACCTGATCATTGCAGACCCATCACCCTCTCGGAAATTCACGTCAGGTGAAGGAAGAGCCTCGCATCCAGATACTCGGGTGATAATCGCTGGTCGGAAATCCAGCACGGATCTCGCAATCGCCACGTACCGTTTGTCATCGGGCGCCGTACTCGACGCCGTGACATGGACCAGCAGCTCGTGTTCGCCTGGTGCCATTGCAATGGGAATCTTCGGGCGTGCTCATGTTTAGTGAATGGCAATGTGCTTCATCTGAAAGGCACAAGGGTTGGTGGCCACCGCTGACACAAAGACTTTGCCCCACGTAGGCTTAATTATTTGACTGCATCCGGTGACACGCGATTTGCGTGCGTCACTCGACTGGCGCCGCCTCTTCACGAATCGCGGAAGCACATGTTGATGGAGCAACGAGTTCACAGGTTGTCCGGGAGCTCTGTGCGGGAAGATGGCACGGCGCTCTGCAAGGACCAATGTTCGCAATTTCAAATCTCGCACGAACCAAGAAAAGCGCGTCACTTTGGTTTGACGCGACTGACCACCCGTCTCCGCCCTTTCACCTGGACATGCCGGCGACCGAGATGTCCGCCAAAGTTATCGACCTCATAGACGGGTGGCACCTTCACTGTCCATCTAAGGCTGGGGAACAATTCAGGGTGCGATGGAGCTGATTTGCCTACCTCCTTCGCTGTAACGAGTAAGGGAGCTTCTCCATGCGATTCGAGTCTATCACGGAGCACCCTGCAAGAATCGCTACGACTTGAGAAATCCTGTGAGCCGTAGAGACAGTATCGTATCTGGGCGGATGTCATCAGCGGTCGGCACTATGCAGCAAAACGACGTTCTACAAGGAAGCGCCAACTGGAAATGTACTGTATTGGGCCAGTCGTTCATTTACTCTCACCACCTGACCTGTTTCTCAGCGTCTTGTCCAGAGCGTCGGCGTGCTCTCTGATCTTGTTGAACTGCCACGGCCAGTCAATGACATACAGAAACGGCCTGAGATCATGGCGGTTGTCGTCAGGATTGTATGCACTCATGTGCACGGCGGGTGTTAGAACCGTGCTCTTGTGTCGATTCATGGCGTAGAATCTGAAGAATCGTTGCACCTTGGTGGCGACCTGGAGAGGTCCATAGCCGAGATCCTGCCATTCGACCAGCAGTCTCAAATAACAGGACCATGGGCCGAGTTTTTCAACCTTCCGCAATACTCCGAACGTACTGAGTTCGTCGTATGTAAGACCCATTTCGTTCTCAGATTCATCGTCCTGGACCCCTGCCGAGAGAGGAGTGAGTTCGGCGCTGGGACGTGCGTCGATGAATTCAGAGATCAGCGGCATGTTCCACTTCTCGCGAGCCCACGCCAGAAATGCTCTCGCATCGGATTTGGATATGCTTCCCAACGGCGCGATATCACCAGATGAGCAGTCGTACTTGGTCTGCGGTCCTCTCAAGTCGTATCAGCAATGCCGTCCTCGAACACAAAGGAAAACCGAGACCCATGTCACAGACCTCAGGTGTGATTCGGGCAAGCACTTACCAAATAGCCTCTTAAGGCTTCGTCGACATTGGCGCTTGAGAGGACAAGCAGACTTGCTCCAGCTCTCGGCCTCTTCCGAGCTAACGTACTCAGTTGGGCCATCTCATACGCAATCACCATCCTGTTCCGCGCCTGGATATTCTGTTTGGCAAGATTTTCTGCAGCTGTGCCTCCTTCCACTTGGAATCTCGGCTTGAAGTCCAAGGCTTTTTGCACAATGTTCTCGTGCGCAGTCACGGTCTCGTCGATATTGATATCCGAATGATACGCGCCTATGCTGCTGGCCAGCCTCTTGGAACGCGACCTCGTTTCGTCTCCGCTGTGTTGGGTTCCCATAAAGGATGTATGAAGCAATCTCTGCACAATTTCCTGCGGTGTGCTAACTGTAAGGTCTTTCTCGCCAGTGATTCGACGGAGATCCGCTAGCGTATTGTCCTCTCCAGCATTGATAGACTGTAATACGACATTGGCCATAGCAAAGACAAACAGAGCCACAGTCGCGCTATCCAGACCTCCCGAAAGCGCAAGAAAGTACCCGCCAGCGTTTGCCCGGGTGAGGTACTGCCACAAGAATACAGCTTCGGCCATGTAAATCTCTTCCATGGGGTCCAGAATCTTCAGAGGCACACCCCGCGACAGTTTCAAGGTTTGGGAAAAGAAGATCTCGTCGGCAGGACGTGAGAGACTGAGGTCACACCCGATTCGTGGGTACTCTGGTTGAGCTGCAGCTTGAACATTTCGCGAAATGCTGCTCCGGTAGCTGCGGACCTCCTCGAGATCGATTGTCGCGGTGATGACCTCAACGGGCTTGAGAGAGAATTGCGTAGATTGTTTGAGAACACGACCATTGCACAAAATCATGGATGAGCCGTCAAACATCATCCGGGCCTCGCCATCTATCCTTGGTTAGAGTCATTGCAACTGCAGCGGATTTGGAACGCAAGATTAGCCCTCACCAACCCCGGTAGCATTAGCGTAAACATAGATGCCTCCCAGTTTACGGGTGCAGTTCTGGATCAGGCTGAGTCGGGTGTTAAGTTTTCTCAATTCGGCATGCGAAGCGCTCCTGTGGTACTCTCAAACGCCGTATCAGCAATCTGATCTCGGGAATACAGAAAGCATCAAGACCAATATCCCGGGCATAGGATATGACTTTGTTAAGAACGTACGAATTTACTATGACCTCGACCCCGTTGAGGCCCATGTTCGTGGACGGATTGGATGGCTACCCACACGTTAGTGGCTCCTGACTGTCTCTGTCGAGTTGGAGGGACCTCGTTCAGGCATGATGACCGAGAGCTAATCGACTTCAAGCACGCCGAACAGGGTGCGTGCGGGATTCTAGTATAAGACTTCGGTGGGTTCTTACGGTAAAGAGCTCCTCGCACGTTTCGCACCTAGAACACCGAGTGTAAGCACTCGAAGAACTGGCTACAGGATCAAGGACCATTTAGAACCTTACCCGACCGAAGTATCCAATGTAGAGAGCACGGCATCTCCGATGGGTACCGTCGCCTGTCCTGTAATATCGCTGATGACCTTCTCGAGGTAGTACGTCTCAGTGGTCCTCTCTTTGACCCAAGCCGTAAAGTGTCGAGCTTCACGGTAGAGACCGTCGTTGGCAAGGCTCATTTTCGGTCGGATGAGGAAGATTTTCTTGTATGTGAGCAGGATGCGACAATTGTAACGTACGTTCTGGCGCGGAGGTGTCAGCAGGGACCGGGGCATTCGTAACTGGTTGCCTACCCTATGCCTCACGCCCATGCCGACGTCTACAAGCATGTCCTTGCATATAGGGTCGTTCAGGATCTCTGCGACTACCTCCCAGCTGTGAAAGAAGGTGTCGGACTCAACTGAAAGTCGGAGTCAGCATCGTGTATTATGGCTGACGGTAATCGACACGCTCGACTTACGATGGTGGTCGAGGCATCCATAGCCAGGGATCTCCAGCTATTACAGGTCAGCTTGCGTTAGCTAGCAGCTATATCGATGCTCGTCCTGCACCGCAGGGAATCCACGCTGTGCCATCATATAATCGCAGTTTCACAATAAGTTGATAATCGTACCTCAGGCCCGGTACGTAGTTTAGCCCCTTCCGATTTCGCGACCCGTATGCTTTCTAGAATCCTCTGGAGATTCCCCCGAAAGTCGAGGGGCACACTGGGAAGGGTGGCACTAGCAACCGTAATGAAAGGCATGCTACGTCGTATGCTCAGGTGCGGGACTCGGCTGTCGGATGTGAAAATTGTGCTGGATGGCAGCTGGATCAAGCGGAAGCTGGAGCGAGCACAGTAGAGGTCGGAGAATTTGTTGTTGTAGAAAGCTCAGAAGTAAAAACAAATAGCTAGGTAGACGGGTAATTAACCAGTGATCTGACGTGTAACTAGATGCTGCGCTTAGAGGATTGCGCGGCAACGACGAAAATTGCAACGAAGGGTCTTTGCCCTGGATTGATCAGGAAGTTCCGGTGAGTCACAATGGCAGCAAGGCCAGAGGACTGATATTCGAGATCACAGACAGGAATGGCACGATTGTCTCCATGTTAGAAAACAGCGCAAATGCAAATGCTGGAAACTATTCCGATTCAGATGCCAAGACAGAATCTTAGTTGTCGTTGAAAAATTGTCGGATTGGCAACTTAGCCGAGAGAGGCACGGGAGGGGCAGCCCCGCCGACACTCGACACTGGAGAGAATCCACGAGAGGGCTATCTTCATCTGGACCACAAAAGACGGGTGATATAATCCAACAGGGGTCGAGCCGATCGCCAGCAAGAGTGAGTGTTGATTCGGACCGCGGGGTTGCCCCATTACCAGCACCGCTGCTGCTCACGAGTAAACCTACATCGCCAACCTCAGCTCATAGCAGTCGTAACCTCGACCGAGATGGTCCAGGACAAGGCATTGGCGAACGGATTAGACCCGCCAGAGGACTCGCGGCAAGAAATGAAGACTGGGAATTGCAGGTTTGGGGAGCAAGATGTTAGGAAATCCTGGCGGGGCTGGTGAGGCTGCAGCCTACTTATGTACCTAGATTACACAAGAACGAAAATCCTAATTGCCATTTACGTGTCGATCCTAGAGGGTCAGCGAAGACTCACTGAGAGCTATCGCAGACCTGCTCCGCCTTGTCCTCATCTTGGTGCTGAAGACCACGATGCCCTCCTACGATGAATCATATCCCGCTGCCACAGGCTCCAGCACTTGCCCACATCGAAATCCCTCTCTACGAAAGCGATTCAAACCCTTATCGGTACACTCAACC